AGTGTGTGCATTCCCAAGATCCCAAGAGGAGAATGGAAGAGAAGGGATTGCAGCATGGCCATCCTCCCTGGGTGGTGATTTCTCACTTTCTGTCTCTCTGTCTATCTCTGTCTGTCTGACGAGCACACGTGCCCTATAACAAAAACCTTTCCCCAAAATAATAATAATAATAATAAATAAAATAATAATAAAACTAGCTTGTACTTAAGTTCTATTTTTTTCATTAGCTTTTTGAAGTATCTGTAGGGAGTGGCCTGAATCTGAGCAAACATGTGACCTTTAGATACATGCAGATCCACCGTTCCATTGGCAGTCATTTACATGGCAATGAACAGCAATAATGTGAATATGCTAGCTGCCTCTGTGTGCCAATCTGCAGAGCAGTATCGGTTAAAGCAAACCACATATGTTGATTAGAATAGGCCTGAAAAGATAAGAGAAAACTTACATAGAACTACATGGTGTCAATTGTCTTTGCATCATCACCTGATTAACATCTGAAAACAACTGGCTTTATTCTACTTCTCCTTTCTCCATTTTCTGACCTTTAAAAGAATAAACCAGGAAACAGTTCGGGCTGTGGCTGCCTCCATCAGAGGAGTCAGGACCATCCAATCGCTGTTCTTCTCCATATGTGTGTCTTTATGTGTTTATTTCTATGTTTATTCTCTAATTCATGCCCCCCCCATTATATGTTCATTTAGCTGTGTGGCACATGGCAGTATACTTGTATGTTCTTTAGTCCTTTTAGCTAGTTTGAATTTTAAAATGTACCACTAAACACACCTGTGTTTAGGATATGGCTGTTTAAGCAATTTAAATTATTGGTCAACTTTTAATCAGAGTCTATCAGATTATATTTTTCTTTTACCAAAACTTTTGGGAGTTTGCAACTTTTGGCAATTATATCACCTTTGGCAATTACACAGTCTTCCATATTATCAGGAATGTATATCTTTTGTGTTTTGTTTTGGGTTGTTTTTGTTTTTGTTTTTTTTTGTCATTGGGGCATGTGATCTCCTGAGAGACAAGAAAGACAGTGAGAAGGAAAGTGAGAAATTACCCCCCAGGTGAATAGCTATGCTGTAGTCCTTACTCCTCCACTTTCCTCTTGAGATTTTTTGGACAAGCATACACACATCCCTGGTATGACTTTTTTTTTTTTTTTCATCATAACCAGGTGGGCTTTATTCCAGGAATGCAAGGGTGGTTCAACATATGCAAGACCATAAATATAATATTCCATATTAACAGGAAGAAAGATAAAGAAACATATTATCATTTCAATTGATGCAGAGAAAACATTTGATAAAATATAACATTC